AGATGAAATTGTAATAAACTGTTTACTTCATACCCTAAAATTTTCACCATTAGGGATGGTATTTACTGTTTAAATTTTAGTTAATAGTACCAATAACAAGCAGTAGCCATAAAAAAGGCTTTTTCAAACCGGTTCCTATATGAGAAAATTCTGTTATAAGAAAAACATAAAAAATACCCTCCTTTAATTTCAATGTTTAAAAACATGTTTTTTGGAAGTTACATGAAAAAATGCCTTCTGGGAAGTCCATCTAGTTTGATTTTTTTATCCGAATTAAGTAAAAATGGTGAATTCGTTTAAAATTAATCTCTCAAGAAATCAATGGACACATTAAATTCCAGCCAATCTTAAAATACAGCCTGCACAACATTAACACACACAGACACATATACATACCTACACACATACACAGAAGACAAATAACCCTTATTTGTGTCACCCGGCGCCGGCGCCTCCATACGGAACGATACCGGCACGATAACGTTAATGGACATACGCTTTGTCACCACACGCCGAAGCCCATCACCACTTAAATACCCACATAGCACACATCTTAAAATCATCTCTTTACATTAAAAAATAAAGCAGAAAATTCTCTGACACAATTCCTTAACATCATAAATTTGATGATTCAATAAAAAATTATACTTAACAGCTCGTTGGTAAGGTTTAAAATTGTGTAAATTACATTATTGGGACGGTGAGGAATGAATGGGTTCGGGGAAGTGCATTTACGTGGGACCGGAATGTGAATGTCAGGCCTATCAGGAAAAGGATGGGTTAGGACCCATTCAGAAACAGGATATCGTAAGTGCTTTGATATACCTAAGAGGGTCACGATAATTGTCACTTTTTGGAGATTTCGACGTACCTACTTACTTCGGTACATGGTGAGCTGATGACATCACTGCACGTGTAATATTCTTTTTAATAGTGAATGAATAAGTGTCAGGCTTTTTGTAAATCCATTCTTATTTTATAAAGCTGAAACTTTTGTTTCTTTGTCAGTTAAAAAGAATAAAAATCTTGAACTCCATTTTTATATACAGTATTATTTGTTGTACAAAATTCCAATAAAGTATTCCAATCGAAATAACTATGTAGAACTTTTTTAACAAAATGTTCTAAAGAATTCTTAAAAACTATCCAAAAAGTCAATTAAAGGTTTTAAAACCCATAAAAATTAACACTGTCCTTAATCTTGATCGCAATTGGCATAGCTGACATGGCACCCCTAACTGGGTTCCGTCGCGCCAACATGGGGCGGTTCATGGGAAATCCTATGATGAACACTGTAAGGGAATCCCTGTGTTAAACGGTTGAATTTCGCACCCTAGAATTGATTGAGCAGGGATTTCCGGGATGACAGCGACTAAAGGGTTACGCTTTTACTTTAATTGAAGGGTTGAAATAAGGGGTTAATTTTTTCATATCAGCGGACCAATTATGTCATTAGAACTTTGAATATCGCGGTTTTTCTGATGTATTTTTAAGTATGAGGTTTATCAACATTTTTAAAAACGAAAACTTAGTTTTCAATTATGTTTACTGGTCGTGGTCAGCCTGCGACCATCGCCAAGGCAATCTGAAGACCAATTATCGTAATAGATGTTCGGTCACAACTCATTTCCCATCAACTCTCGATCTCACAACTGTCATAAAAGGTATTTTCGTAGTAAAGTTAAACATTCAACGTTGTTAAAGTTAAATCGGTATTCTACTAGTCTTAGTAATACCACCACGAGAATACCATTTATGATAGTTATGAGATCGAGAGTAAATCGGAACTGAATTGTGACCGAACAACTTTTATTACGAGAATACGCGACGTAAAGCTTTTTACTTAATACTTAGCGTGAGCGCGCTACTTTCCGTAAACATAAATAATGAAACCCGATAGTTTAAAAGTAAAAAACTTGTTAAATTTATATTAATTATCTATACTAATTTTATAAAGAGGTAAAGTTTGTGAGTGTGTATGTTCGGGGTAATCTCCGGTACTACTGATCCGATTTTGAAAATTAATTCACTGTTAAGAAGTGTATATTATTCCCGAGTGCTGTAGACTACTTTTTACTTGAAGTCTAATACTTGCTCAGATAGAACTATCTAGAGATGCATAAATTGGACTGTAAACTTTTTATAAGTACTTTTTACAATTTACCTAGCGTTTGTAAATATTTGTAATTTATATTTAAAACATATGATTCGCAAAGTAATCAATACATATGATGTTAAAGCTGAAAGTTTTTGTTCGTTTAAAGGCGATAATCTCTAGAACTATAAATTACATAATATAAACAACTATCTTTGGTATTGGGTGAAGCATTTATTTCAGAATAATATATTAAGGATTACGCTACGATTCTTAGGTGCAGCAGAGCAGTGATCATAAATGCACGTGATACTGTCTGAACATCTAGTTTGGAAGACAAATCACTTCACAATGCCATTGTCTAAGTTAAGAAAAAACAAAAAGCCTTCTCATTAAGCATCTTAACACAGCACGCAACCCACTAATAACCCATAAGTCTCTATAAACTGCCTATTATTCAAAAAATAATACGGAAACATCACCAAGAATCCCAAGAGACCATTATTATAAACAAATACATCGAGCCGCATGGTGCCTGGCGGTAAAAAGTCAAAAGTCCGTCCGTATACGTTGCGCGGGCGCAGGCATTAATAATGTAGTTTAAAGATGGCGCTGGAATGCGCTGAGCCCGGTGGGGATGCGCGGGAGCCACTAGTGATGAGCTCTTTATATTATCGACGTAACTGGATTTACAAAAAATACCGATTATGATATTAGTATATCAATTAAGACATCGCGAGAGTTGATTTAGCAATGGTTAGAAAAACAAAACATTTGGTGTCTTGTCTTTTGAATTAAAACTGTTCTTAAATGTTTTGAAATTAAGAATGGGATCTATATTTCTGAAAAATGGTAATTGAACATAAAAAATTGTAAGATTTTATAAGCATATATTTTAAGACAGAACGTGGCACTCCTTGGAATAGTCAGGACCCAATACACGCGTGAGTAAAATTGTTTATCTTTAATAAATATGAAAACCACCGACGACAGTTTTAATTCTAAGACAATTATGCTATTAAAGGAGGAAATTGAGTGCACTCCCAAAACGACGGCTTTATCTAACATTGCGTTTGCGCATGGCCAACGGACCTCCTATTAATTATACTATTTAATTAGCAAAGACAAGTTTATTTAATACACTTATCATATATTATCTGTTTGTATGACAGATATTATGTAAACATGAGGTTTTTGTAGAATGTTATGTATTTATTACGCAAATTGTATTGTATTGTTAAAATACAAATGATACACAAGATAAATACCGTAGAGTAACAATTACTAGGAAATACTATTATTTTTTATCCGACTTTAAAATAGGAAGTTTTCAATAGAGCTGTATTTTTTAGGTTTGTTACCTCAGAACTCCGTTATTGAAGAACTGACTTAAAAAAAAATATTCTGGCTTTTTTTTATTTATTAACACTACCAGTTTTTCTTTTTCAGAAAAAAAATACCACTAAGGGTGGAAAATACAGGAATGAAGAAAACAGTTTAATGCAATTCATTGTTATGTACGTATATGTGGGTTGACGGATTAAGAATACGAAATGTCACCAGCCCTATTCATCCCATGGGTGTCGTAAGAGCCGACTACGCAGGACAACAGCACTGCAAAGAGAATGAAAACTTGCCACAAACCCTATACCAACCCGTCTGGCCAGCGTGGCATAGTAGGCCAAAACCTCTTTTCTAAGGAGAGGCTATGTCCAGCAGTGGACTATTAAAAGCTGTTGATGTGATAATGCTGATGAATATGTATGCACTTTAAGTATGTGATACTTAGATTTTTAAAAGTAAGTTAAGTATACCAATCGTAACAAGTCACGTAATTCTAAGTACCTTATAATGTTATTTAGTTAAATCAGCTAGTATTAATCATACTCATATTGAAATCAAAAATAAACAAATAATTTTATTCCATGTTAAAATTCGTTGAACATCACTATCGAACCCAAATTTCCAGGAAGCTGCGCCGGCGCCGCCCTGTGGTCTTGTTCCACGATCTATCCGACTTTTGTCACTCATTCCATCGAATATTTTAAAATAATAGGTTTTTAAAACGTACGTGGATTTGATTAAGCAAGATGAATTCTTCTTTATAAGCTTCTAAAACGTTTAAAAATGGAACAAGAAGTTATTTTAACTAATGTGTTACCTAGTAAATTTTTGTTCCATTTTTAAATGGACAAAGTTTTAAAACATTTTTTTTAAAGGACAATGTCAAGTTATGCCTAAATAAAAACTGCACCAAAATTCACCAAGAATGTTGCCATACCGCAGTAATTTTAAAAGCAGTGGGTGTGACCAATTATCTGATCTTATTAGCATTGAGAACTATTAATCGTTGTTACACTGATTTATTATCAACATAACTATAATATATATACTATATATATTTATAATAACATTTATTAACATCGTCAACAAGTGACTTTGACTATTAAACGTAATAATTAATACTGCACAAAGACCGTAAAGAAATATTGATGTCTTACATATTTTTTTGGAGTTCAGTAAAATGCCTTATAAAATAATAGCCACACTAATGTTATAAAGGCGAAAGATTGTGAGTGTGTGGTTGTGTGTTTTTTACTTCTTCACACTCAAACGTCTGGACCAATTTTAATAAAATTTGGTGTGGAGGTAGCTGACACCCTGGGTTAACACATAGGCTAAAATTTAGTATTCCCATGGGATGAGCAGATATCGAACACCGAGTGTCGCAGTTAAATATTTCTATGTCACTTCGCTTATAATACCTCAAGTCCTGATACCTGTCTAAGTACATAAAACAAAGTTAGAACCGACTAATCACTAAGACACTCGTATAATAAAAATATCTTTAATAACTAAACTACCTTTTAAAACATTACTTTAGAGTTTTACAGTAAATTCTTACCTTTAGGTTTGACGTCCTCCATCGCGTAACGGGTGTAGGGTGGAGGAGGGGTTTCTGCAAAGACAGAAACGAACATGAATAAACAAGATTCTGGAGCAGTCACAACAGAAATATCTGCAGCAGAATCTGAGACACATTCATACATACAATCCATTCCCTGTCCGTGTGGTGACGGATTAAGAATATGGAGTATCACCACCCCTATTCATCCCATGGGTGTCGTAAAGAAAGCAAACTACGCAGGACATCAGCACTGCATAGTGAAGGAAAACTTGAAACAAACCATATACCAACCGTCTGGACAGCGTGGTATTGTAAGCCAAAAACTTCTTTATAAGACAGGCCTATGTAAAGTAGTGGACTCTTGAGGGCTGCACAACCAGAGATCGACAAATTTATACCGAATTTTAGAATGTCTTGATTCATCGAACAGTGTAACTTGAAGTGCTATTGTTTAGACTATAACCGATCAAAATGTATACTGGACTGGACCCATATAGCTTACTGTAAATATAGAAGGTTAAAATCATACTCTTAAATCATAATCATATGATGAAATGACTGGTTCGAGTCACAGCGATTTCACAAAATGCTATCAATATCAATCAAAATTCTTTCTATCAAAGGTTACAAACTTTTTTCAGATTTAGTCTAGCGCTAATAATAATAAGAAGTCGCAGTGGTTTTGTAAATTAGTCACAGATGTGATTATATGATTTATAAATTATATGCTTTTTCACAGATTATTGTGATTTTATTCCATCTCTAGCTTGCTGAAGAACACATACATTCTGTTTATTTTTTTTACCTTTTTACACTTCTACATAGAAATATTACATATTCGATTGCATGCTTCCCTGCGCCATATTTAAAAAAGTACTAAGCATTTTATTTACGTATTAATATATAGATTAGCACATTATATCTCTCATACATCTATTAGTTCTAATATAAAGTATAACTGAAGTATTCAACTCTCGAATAAAAACTAATACTCTCATAAGCTCAAACCTTCTCAAGCCAACTCAATGGAAAAATTAACTCAAGAATGCAAAAACCTTCGGGACCTTTTTTGAACCCACTAATCACCCGCATTACCCGTCTCCATCAGAAAATAAAAAGCAAAATTCAACTTAAAACAAACAACCCGTAACCGGATCAGGTAAAAACGATCCCAGACCGCCCGCAATTATGTCCAACCGTGGAATCGAACCGCGATCCCAGACTAAATAACAACTAACCTATATTTTGAACTCATAACGACATTTTATGTGCTTCAATATCACGGTTGCCGCTGTCATTGACTGTAATTTTGTGTAATCAAATAGTGTTTGACCTAAAAATTAAAGAACCGCATCACAATTAGACGAAAACCATTGACAGAAAACAAAAAGCAACTTATAATCGACCAGGAAGAAAGCAGAGACAATGAAATAACTTTTTAAATAATGTCGTTTGAATCCCAAACGCGATTTATTTCATTTACGAATTACTAAGCACGCGCTAGTGGTCATAGAATTTCGAACGCTATTAGTATTTTCGAATTCCGAATGTGAAATTGTGCAATTGTCATTTGCAATTCGGCGCCAGGCGGCGGCGGACGTGTCAACATTGTTTTTCAACTGAATCGATGCCGCTGGACATTTTGAATACAAATTATATGATCACTGAATTCAATATGATTTTATGATGAATAGTTTGCGCACCGTTCTGGGAAGTATTTAATGGCGTTTGCACAAGAAATTTCAAAACAATCGTTAGCGCATGCACCTGCATAACGAATGATGTGTCTTGGAATTTTGGTATGTGTGATATAACTCAACTTGGTGAGAATTTTAGTAACTTTTTATTGCTTCTTCAAATCAGAATGTATAATTTTGACGACAGTTAGATAGATTTTATATGATTGTCGATTAAATTGAATCTTAAGAGATTTAAAGATCACATCACGTCAGCTTCCGACGTACATCTTACAACATTGCAGCTGAAAAAAGAGTACGCAATGCAAAAGTAAATGACCCTAGACGCCTTGCGTATCATCCAGCAGATATAAATAATATTGTAGCTGATCTTTATGCCCATATGAATGTACGCGTAGGCTACAACCTTGTCGTTGACAAGCAGCAAAACGAAACCTTAACTAAACGGTGTAAAATTGGTATTTAATTACCGACGACAGCGATATACAACCATTTTGCAACAACAGACTATCACACACAAATATATAGAGTGGCGTGACTGAATTTTCTTTAACGACTATTACATCATAAACACCATAGGTTATTAATGGAAACTAGACTCTGTCATCACGAATATAAAGCGCAATTTCCTAATAACAATAATTAGAAATCATTAGTTCATTTACTTCTAAGCTTAAACTTGTAGCATGTGTAAATTGATTTATGTCGAATGTCGAAGAGGGAAGGTTCAGATTTCAGTGGGATGGCGTGCTATATCGTATTTCAATTATTGAAGAGCTCGGTCAATGAAGAATGAATCTTTTACTAATTGAGATAGGGTTTAAATTTGTGATGTAAATAATGGAATGTTGTCTGATGAGGTAGATAAGTATTACGGTAGGCGCGTATGGAGGCCCGGCATGTGTAATTAATCTAAACATTCAATCTATAGCAATAAATACCGTAGGTTGTCAGTTTGTCCTTCGATTACTATGTAACTACTGAACCGGTCAGGCTGGCCGGTCTTTCGCGTCAATTGCTCTATCGATAGCACAGTTGACCAACATGGCCGCGATAATAAATATTTAAAAAAATTCTATTAAGTACGTTGATCAATACAATACAGTTATCTATACAAATATATAAAATTGGAGTGTCTGTTTGCAATTTTAAAATAACCGCTTTTTACTAAATGCATATGTATGTTTACACGGTACATATGCCAAAGTATCATTTTTTACAATTTTTGTCTGTCTGTCTGTCTGTTTGTTCCGGGTAATCTCTGGAACGGCTGGACCGATTTCAACGGGACTTTCACTGGCAGATAGCTGATGACATAAGGAGTAACTTAGGCTACTTTTTTTAGGCGTTGCCCGCGGTTATAACCACAAACGCGGGTAACACCGCGGGTCTCAGCTAGTCTATACATAAATGCTTCAATTAGTAAGCTTGTTTTCTTGGTTAATTGCAATAATTTACAATGTCATGTCTTTTGATCAGCAATGTAAGTTGTAATTTATCTATATCAATAAATAAAATTGAAGTGTCTGTTTGTAAAATCAAAAATAATAGTTTTTTTTATGCTCACACGGTTATTTGCAGGATGCATGTGCCTAAAAACCAGTTTCAATTTTTTTGTCTGTCTGTGTGTTTGTTAGGGTAATCTTCAAAACGGCTGGACGATTTTGATAATATTTTACTACCAGGTAGCTGTCTATATAAGGAGTAACTAAGGCTATTTTTCTCCCAGAAACCCCTATAAAATTTTGCCCGGTCCGGCAATCGAACCCACTAAGGCAGTGCTTTTCAAATTATACGCGAATGAAGTCGCTAGTTTCAATAATAATTTAAAGATTAGATGATTTTTCTAAATCTAACTGGTCGTTTTTGAGATAAACACGTTCAAACAAAAAACCCTAGTAATAAATAATAATAATATTCTACAACATTCACACAACGCCATCTAGTCCCAAACTAAGCAGAGCTTGTACTATGGCTACTAGACAACTGATATAAATACATATATACTTTTTTTTAATACATACATATATACATCAAACATTAAATGTTGTTGCACACAAATGTTTGACTTAAGCGGGAATCGAACCCGCGACCTTTAGAATAGCAGTCCGTTACACAAACCACTACGCCATTAGGTCGTCAAACCAAATGGCGTCGTAGTAGTAATATATTAGTATAGAAAATGTTAAGCATGTCTGTAACAAGTAATAAAATTGAAACAGAATACCAATTAGAGGACTTAGAAGAATAAACTAAAGTTTAAAACAACCATTGTACAGAAATACAACGTAACGATATTTAAGTAGTACATTTGAATGTAGTTGTGTGCGCGGCGCCGGCGCAGAACGCGATACCAAATTGTAAATATACAGTGATTCATCGTTCTGTTTAGAAAATTATTGACTTTGTTATATTGGCAGATTCTTGAAGATTCCATGTTGTTTCTTAGGGAAATGTGGTATTTCGGTAATAAGGACGTAGAAACCGGTACTGGTATATCTCTGTACGTTATTATTACTAGACTAAACACAATTATCCACAATCAAATCAAGTACTATTTATTGAATATCAAGCCGTTAGATCGTATAGAAACTTGGATGAAATAGGAACGTGTGACGTCATACGTTGCTAAAGTGATTTCGATTAAAAAAATATTCATAAAATAGTCAAAATCTAGTTTTTTAGTTAATTTATTATAGTCTACCACATTCACACAACGGCACCTAGTCCAAACCAAGCAGAGCTATTATGTACTATGGCTACTAGACAACTGATATAAATACATATATACTTTTTTTTTGTAAATACATACATAGAAACACCCAGACCAAATTAAACATTAAATGTTCATGCACACAAATGTTTAACATGAGCGGGAATCAAACCCGCGACCTTTGGAATGGCAGTCTGTTACACAAATCACTACGCCATCCGGTCCTCAATAATGATGATGGAAAGTTAAATGACACATCTTACAAACAGCCGTCTTATCCTTAATTAGACAGAGCCAGGAGAGACTGCCGATAAAGACACATATATTTCTTAATACATTGTAAATTTATAGATAAATTACATTCAGACACAGAACGATTATATTGAACACACAACCTCCTCATTAACCAACAAGTCTGACATTGTAAAAATACTCCGAAAAGGTTTTTACTAAATATAAAACGTAAACATTAAGTTTATTACTGAATGGCGCCAAAGTAACACTTTAGTAAGACCAAATAGTCGTGAGTATCTATTCTCAAGACACTGGAGCTTTGACGCTCAATAAAACGATGATGAGTAGCGAAGATAATTGATTTTAATGTAAACATTCGTTTTATGACAGTAATGTTCACAATTCGT